TCAATCAAATAATGATGAGAGCGTGAAGAAAATATAATAAATGCTGAGTTTATTTTAAAAATATCCAAAAAATTTTCTAATGGTGATCACGAAGTGTTAATAGACCAAGTGCGTGAATTCTCGTGTTTATACGACCGTGAAAACAAGATGGTTTTTCATTAGAATTTTATAATATCCTTTTTGGTTTCTAAATGCGTATAATTCGTCAGTTTCTTCTCGCATAGAAAATAGAAAACTCAGAATTTCATATTCTTCTTTATCTTCTAGCAGAAAGAATACTGTTTCCTGTTTCCGGATCCATTTTTTTATCACTAATCACTCATTTCAAAATACACAAACCACTGCTATACTTTCGATGTAGACGTTTTAAGCAAAGTATGTGACCGTAACAGCTGGCCGTCGTTGCCAGACGTCGCCGCGGACCGCAAACGCTGGACGTCGCAACGAAATCCAACCTTAAGAAGAAGCTGATACGAGGATAATTCTTCACTTATCAAATGTTCTTCCGACTTGCAATTCCATTCTAGTAAAATCTGTGGATACAGATATTTTAATTTTGCTTGTAGTCGTCTATGTATATGTGATGTGAGTATTTGTGTGAAGTGTAAATACAAGTGTCATCTGCGTAGATGGACATTTTAGTATGAGGATTATTGGGAATGTCAGCCGTGTGAATATTATAGAGCAGTGGAGCCAGGATAGAACCTTGAGGAACTCCTGCTTCTATAGGTCTGAGGTCTAACATTTGAGAAGGTATTTTTGTTGAGTTTGACATGGAAACGTCTGGCTTTGAGGAAATTGATGATAATTTTGACAAGAGATAATGGCAGAAAATATTTGTCATGAAGCTTGACTACGACCAGCATGCCAGATACGATCGAAGGCTTTTTCGACATCCAGCAGCACAACACGCGTTTGGGAGCGGCAAGGCGCGAATCGCTTCTTCAACCAACCTGGCAAGCTGTATCTCAGTAGAGTGATATGAACGAAAACCAAATTGTTCATCACGTAGAATGCTATCAAGATAATCAGGCCTATGATGTATCCTCTCCTGTTATTTTAACAGTTGTGTTATAGCTCAAAACCTATACCTGTCTCTATTTTCACGTGTAGAATAAACAGTGACAGATAACTTAACGTTGCTGTTAAAATAACAGAAAATGATACATCATAGGCCTGATTGTGAGGATTTGAGCTTTTCCTGATTGATTTTGCTTTGTTTTGTTTGGACCGCATGGGGTGCACCCTCTGGACGCGGTTATCCAATCGGGCAGTAGTTGACTGGTTGTATTTAGGGCACCTTTTATATCCTCTTCCTATCAGGGTGAACAGTGCGGATCCTGAATAGCGTTGCTCAATCACGAGTTGTTCTACAGCCAATCCTTGAACAGAACGGCGATCATGCTATCCGCCGCCTCCGTGCTGCTTTGTCACTAAGGACACTAAGTGCTTCCAGACTACACTAGCCTGATCCCGTCACAACTTGCCGATCGCCGAAGAACTTTGGAATCGTGAGCAATGGGTTCGCCACATTCCCACGCCAATTAATATTGACTTAGGTGCTTATTCTGTAACTCATAACGATCCTGTTAAATTACGATGTCGTAACATAACGATGACAGTTATTCTGGAAGGGCGATCGTTGCGAGAGATCGTTTAACGGATCGTTGAACTACGATAGCTACGAACGATAATCTTAAGATAACGATTTGCCTTATTCTGTATCCATGCGAAATCGTTATCAAAGCGTTTCTAACGTCAAAATTCGATCGTTGATTAACGTCACCTCTATCAGCTATCTTTCACCCGAAAGTGTTAAATTTTCAAAAAAAAAAACATGGATTATGTGTTGGATGACGCTATAAATAATGCTGCCCAAGAGTTGCTTAGAAGAAATCATCACAAATTAATACTGAGACAGTTGAGAGACAGGAGTGATCCTTTCAGCTTGCCTGCTGAAATGATGAAACAAACATACAGGTTGGAACCAGAGATTGCTCGATATGTTTTTTTACGAATAGAACATCATTAAAATAACGGTATCAGACGTACAAAAGTCCCTCCAGTCGTCCAATTATTTTCTGCTTTGCACTTTTTTGCTCAAGGCAGCTATCAAAAATCCGTTGGAAAAGATTTCATTTGCCCCCTGTCCCAGTCTGCACTTGACGTTGTAGTACCGGCAATTGTGAATAATCTACAACAGCAAATCAAGTTTCCTCAAACAGATGCTGAAATACGTGAAGTGAAAAATGGATTCAATGAGAAATTTGGGATGCCAGGCGTTATTGGAGCGGTTGATGGCACACATTTGTCTGTACCTTCACCTATGGGTAACGCAGCCTCCCCGCGATTAATTTTTTTAAATCGCAAGCAGTTTTTTTAGCCTGAACTGCCAAATCATTTGTGACTCAGATTTGAAAATTTTAAGTTTGAACGCTCGTTTTCCTGGCAGTGTCTACGATGCTGCGATTTGGTCACTGTCGGAAGTCCGATTACGTTTAAAAGAAAGGTATCAACATGGTGGAAGATACTTTTGGCTACTGGGCGATTTTGGGTATCCTTTAAGGCCCTATCTAATGACACCAATACTCCATGCTCCGCCAGGTTCCCCCAAAAGTAGATACACCGAAGTTCATTGCAGGGCTCGAAATACCATAGAACGATGCATTGGCGGCTTCAAAGGGCGCTTCCGTTGTCTTCCGGAGAGACAGAACTTTGCATTACAAGCCAGAATTTGCGGCCCAAATCTTATACGCCTGTGCAATTCTGCACAATCCTATGAAAGCCGCCAATAATGACGACGAAGAAATTATAGTGGAAGAGGACGTCCCCGCCGATCATGATGAAGATAATGAGGAGCCGGACGGTTTGCAACAAGGACTGGAAACCAGACAACAAATAATTAGGAACATTTTTAATAACGCATAATAAAAAATAAACAATCACATATTAATAAAATAAAACATAATGCTAATTATAGAATTTTAACTAGGTTAACCTACAACGAATTATCACTTTCTTCCGCCGCGTCAGTGATACTTGTACCTTCTCCTTCTTCGGAGCCATTTTCGCTTTCGAGCTCTTCGTCTCCATAGCTGTTCTCATTTTCATCAGGCATGTGTTTGGGATATTTTAATTTAAGTTTGAACTGTTCCAGCCGTAGTCGTTTCGTTTGAATTCCTACTAGTGCTCCAAGGTGTTTTTCAATTTTCTGCAACACTGTAGAAGGTTCATATTTTCTGTGCGTGCCTGTAGCAGCTGTTGTAGTGAACCCGATAATGTTTCATGCCTACGTTTGTTGCGTGGCACAGTTTCAATTGGTGGAGTATCAAGGCATACGCCCTTCGAATGACCAGATAAGTTATTGTTTTGCTTAAGATTATTGTCAGTCCTGAGCACTTTAACATCATTACTAATGCCCAGTTCAGGTACTTGCATCCCTTCAATAACAATGCGTCCTGTTAGATCTAGTAAACGGGTTTCCAAATCAGTCAGTGATCTGATAGGTGCCTCTTTATTGCCGGTTTCTTTATAAACTTTTTTGACTTTCGCGTTCCTTTTTGCGCGTCTGGCTTTTCCAGTCGGCGAATACCTGAGGACGAAAAATAATTAATTTATAAACGAGTCAATTAATAAACAACAACAAATTTTTACTTACGTGTTTCCACTGTTTAACATTTTTCTTAGGCCCTCCAGAGCTATTCAGTTATCCAACTAACCTATTCCAATCATTTTCTAGTTTTGCCGGATTTTCTTTCGGATTGAAGGAATTTTCGCGAAAACTTTGGATGCACTCCAACTCGTTTAAATATAAAACATATTGTTCCCTACTGGTCTTCTGAGCCCTTGGTTTTTTCACTCTTTTATTTTCAGTAATGTTATTCATTTTTATTGTAATTATTAATTTTTTTTGTTATGACGGCGCGCACCTCACCATAGCACCTCACAACTGTTTTCTGTTTTCGAGTTTAGACAATTCATAGCAACCGTAGCTTGTCGTTACTACTCGTCAAGGACACACATCTAACGACTGACTTACGATGAACGTTACAAAATAACCCTATAACGATCTGTCGTAAGTCTATCGTTAAAAAGCTATCGTTAATAAACGAATCCTTACGCAACGACCAAGTTACAGAATAAGCACCTAAGTTGAACGTAACGATTCGGTTACGGAATACGATTTCCGAAAATATCGTTCACATCAAAGTCGTTACCACAACGATGTCGTCAAGTAACGACAAGTTACAGAATCAGCCCCTTAGACTTAAATAACAAGAACCTCATTAATTGAAATTAATCATATTATTTCAATAATCAATACAAAAAGGAAGCTTTATTTAATTTAAAAAAAAGAATATCCACATTTGGTGTAAAAAATATGCTCATTTTACAGCTTGTTGCATAAATATAGATAGTGTTGTATCGCAACCAGTAAGAGTAGTAAGACAATGAACAACTATTAATTTTTTACCTATTATAATTAAGAGTAGTTCGTGTCCTATCGGTATCCAATGAAAAGGGGTGATTCGTCGATTAGGACAAAAAATAAAAGGCCTGTTAAGTCTTTACCAACGTTTCGCCCAAAAGTTTAGGACTTCATCAGGGCTAAAATATATATTAGGAACATCAAAAAAGTGCTAACAAAAAAATGAAGTACATACCTTGTACTTAAAAAATTACGTGGCCAGAATTTTAAAAAATAGTGCGAGATTTTCAGGATGGAACATTCGATTGCACATAAGAAAATCACAATACATTAATAAAATTGTTTCTTGAAACCTGCTATTATTATTTTTTTCTCATTGCTAAGTATAGAAGGCCCCTTTAGATGCACAAGAGCATAACCGATCAGCCTGTATAGGTTTCATTTGGTTAGACCTTCAAAAAAAATTTTGAAACATTTTTATATCGTTTTTACTCCACTATAATAAAATACAGAAAGTGTGAAACATAAAAAACTAATAATATTATATCTAGGAATCTAGGTATACTATCTAATAGAGGCATTAATTTTAAACATAATGTGAACGCAAATCTGTCCAGGGTAAGTAACACCCGATAAAGAAGCTCTCCGTTGCGATATCGGGTGTAACATTCAAATATGCGAACGTGAGCCAAATGGGTGTTACTTACCTCCATGCCGCCCGGGCGTCTATTGGGAATGCAGCCTTGAATTGGGACTTTTCTCCGCAACCGATCGGTTGAAGGTATTCGCTCCGCGGTCGGTTCTGCTCTCGGTAGGAAACCCTTGCGGTTATCAGTGTTGGAAACGGTGCCTCAAGTTCAAAGTAGACACATTTCACAGTCATCACTCATTTGTCATTGTCTCCAGGCCTGCGCTTTGCGCTGCGCTTGGCTTGGTCGCAATGCAATTGGTTTTTGATTGTGTGTGTCGTGTCTTGTCTCTGGATATTTTAGAATAATAATTTTTCCACGATGGAAAGTATCCTGAAAGAATAAACCAATTTATATCAACTTTTTACCCAAGTATTATACTTTATACCTCTCTTTATAAGTTATACATTCTTTATACATTACAAGACACAAATAGCGATAAAATACACATAAAATGGAGATTCCCCGGACACATGAAGGTAAATTTTCAGGTGACTAAGCCTATCAGAAAGTTTTTCATTAGTACTGAACAAAACTAATAATGTCATTCAAAATATACTGATACTAGATAAATTAGGACATTCGAATCCAACCTATCATCATCTTTTGATGTTATTCGAATTCTGCAATCACAAGCATAAACTACCTTACCTTAATCTAGACAATTTATAAATTCTGTTTTCTAAATTTTATAAAGGCTCTTAGAATGTTCATAATATTTTATTTACTTGAAGTAATATTTTCTGATAACTTTTTACCCTTTGTATTAAGAAATACTAAATTTGCTGAATTGATGATATATATTTGAATGTTCAATGTTCAATATTAAATTCAACTTTAGGCCTTTGTCAATTAGGTATTGTAATTGTTATTTTTTTCACCATGTTGAGAGAATTTTGCTTTTGAGTACCTAGATAATACTGAGGATATTACCTAATATATTTTTTCTGTGTGGTATTTAGCTGTGAAGAAAGTCAGCTTTGTTGAGGTTGAAGTTGAGGTTAATTAATCTATATAGCTGAGCTTTTTTTTTTGGTGTATTCCATACTGGTGTTTAACACTCCATCAAAATATCAATAATTTCAACTGAAGGGAATGAGGTTATAATTTACTTTTGCTTCTATTTCAGGGTCTAAATTCTAAATTATCAATTTTATTTAGTATTTTAGTTATTAAAACTTGAATGTAATATTTCTCCCTTAATTTGTCCTTTTGATAATGACATTTGTACCTTTAGGTATACTTACCTAAGTACTGTATTTTTTTTTTAAACAAATTTGTTTTGAAATACTAAGTAACATAGAGCACATGTCTAGATTGTATTTTAATTTAACTTCAAACAAAGCTACCCTTTAGACCTTGAATGTATGATATAGGTACCTACATATCTTAATTTGATTTGTTTTTAGATATTGAATCCCAAATCAGAGATATTCAAAGTAAAAGGAAAGAGATACCAGTGGAAAATGAAAATGGTGTAGGCCTAGGAGAAAGTGGTGTCTTTGACAGTGAAATATATGATGGCCAAGATAAAAAGTATGAGGGCTATGTTACTTCCATTGCAGCAAATGATGAAGTCGATGAAGATGAAGAGGATGTTGGATATTCTGCTCAAAAACGTACTGGATTGGGAGCCCCTGTTGCTTTGTTGAATGATATAGCACAAGTAAGTGAGGCATTGCAATTTTTTTTTGTCCCTAATCAAGTTTCCTCTTCAGTTTAATTTGTTTATACAAAACAATTTATTTAAAAAAAAAATCACTGAAAAAAACTAAGTACCTATTACTGAAAATGATTATCGTTTATCTATTTTAAGTGAATGCATAAATAAATGATTAACCCCATTTGTCTACTTCTTTTAATGATAAAATAGATGCTACATAAGCAAAAGCAAGATGTATGTTATTGTTTATGAGTAGTGTTGTAACAAGCGAACTTTACTGAGCGAACGTTCGCCCTATTACTGTAATTTACAGTAATGTTCGCTCCTCTCTAAGCGAAAATTCGCTGAAAATGCATGTCTAAATGTTACCTAATCGTTTAATCATGGACATGGACCCTGATTTCTGAATATTTTTTCTATTTTTTTATTCTATCACTACTTGTGTTATTACCATTACCTACAGTAAGTTCGTTTTTTAAGTTCCTTTTTTTAGAGTTCCTATTTTTATTTTTAAATTTATTTTTTTTATATTAATTTTTGTTTTCACTTAACACTTTATGTATTTATGTTATGTAGGTATTTGCATTCAAGGACCAAATTATGGACTGACTGGTAAACGTTTGGTTGTTACCTAGAGGGTACTTTCTATGCACTAGAGAATAGAAAGTACCTGCTAGGTAACAACCAGACACTTACCAGTTGGTCCATAATTTGGCCCTAAAGATTTTTGAGTTTTATTTTTTGGTGCTACCAGTGCTATATACCTACATCCTACATGTACGTTGTTTTTTAGTTTGTTTTTTATTACACTAACTTACAACAAGAAACAAGACTTGTATTAGTTTTATAAATATTATCATCTTCTTTACAATAAATTAATAATACTTAGACAAGGGTTACATCTACATTTATGGAAAATTCACCTACCCCTAACAGAGAAAAGAAAAATAGGAAAATTTAGTGGAATTTTATTATTAATAGACATTTCTACAAGCCCTACATTAAAAAGCCGAATTTATAGGTGCTTATGCAACATTCCCGAAAGTTCGGTAACGTTCGAAAATTACGGAGAATTTTACAACACTATTTATGAGGGATCAAAAGGGTCATTGTTGGGTGAGAATGTAATTCCCCCATACAATCCCATGTTTCACAAAGTTCTTAATAAATGTTATCAATTAGGCATTTAGAAGTGGAAATAAGCCCAATTGATTTTATAAATTAACTGGATAGTTAATTACCTACTTATTTTTTGAATGGACATGTTTCCGATTTTTTTTTTGCCTATTGAATAGTATTTTGCTTGCTTACTCTTAGTGTTGTAAAATTCTCGGTAATTTTCGAACGTTACCGGACTTTCGGGAATGTTTGAGAATTTTCGAGAATTTATGAGGACTTTGGAGAATATCGCAAAAGCACCTATAAATTTGGTTTTTTAATGTAGAGCTTGTAAAAATGTCTATTAATAATAAAGTTTCACTAAATTTCCCTATGTTTCTTTTCTCTGGTAGGGGTAGGTGAATTTTCCATACATGTAGATATAACCCTTTTCTAGGTATTATTAATTTATTGTAAAGAAAATGATAATATTCATAAAACTAATACAAGTATTGTTTCTTGTAAGTTGGTGTAATAAAAAACAAACTAAAAAACAACGTAGATGTAGGATGTAGGTAGCAGTGGTAGCACCAAAAAATAAAACTCAAAAATCTTTAAATGCAAATACCTACATAACATAACTACATAAAGTGTCAAGTCCAAACAAATATAATATAAAAAAATAAATTTTAAAATAAAAATAGGAACTCTAAAAAAAGGAACTTAAAAAATGAACTTTCTGTAGGTAATGGTAATAACACAAGTAGTTATGAAAGAAAAAAATAATAAAAATATTCAGGAATCAGGGTCCATGTCCATGATTAAACGATTAGGTAACGTTTCGAAATGCATTTTCAGCGAACTTTCGCTTAGAGAAGAGCGAACATTACTGGAAATTACGGTAATAGTGCGAACGTTCGCTCGGTGAAGTTCGCTTGTTACAACACTACTTACTCTAAATGTGCTTTTCTTTTTTTTCTGCGTTACTCACTTTTTTTTATATTAATTTTTGAAAATGGAACTACATTCAAACAAAATCCTGTCTGACGTCATAAAGGGTTCTGCTCATGCTTATAACTGTTTTGGGATGTTGACAGTTTGTGCTTTTTGAATTATTATAATATACATATAGTTATCTGGTTATTTATGTAAAAAAATATTATAAATAGATGGAATAATCATGTAATCGATGTTTTTTGAAAAATTAACTTTTTTAAAGATAAGCAACATGGCAACAGTGACTGGCGGTGTTGCCAGTGTTATCGGCTGTAAGTAGGGTTGCCAGATACTTGAGTTTTGAAAATAGGAGAGCCTGTGAAAAATTATATGAGATTGGATAATAATATATGAGAATATTTTATGTACTGCAAAATACTTAAATCCGAAAAAGCTCCTATCTTAACATTAAGTTATGATTTTTAGCAGATTTTGGGATGTATTGTTGGACATTTTTTTAGGCAGTTAAATGCTCCTCCTGATCCGTCAGTCTCATTTCTTGTAACAAGTTGTGGACAACACCTTGAGTTTTTTGATGTTTAAACAAATTCCTGACCCAAAATAATTTTCTTTTTTTTTCTGTTTTTACTTTTATTTTTATTTATTATGTACAAAAGCGACAAAAGTAAAATATTATTTATTCGGCAACATCGGAAAAAAGTTGGAAATATTCGGATAAAATGTGGCGGGAAATTTTTCAGCCAATAGGAGCTCCATCGTACACCATCGGACGGTCGGATGGGACGCATCGCATGAGACTCCATCCTATAACCGGAGTCTCATGCATCCGTTTTCCGATGTCCGATAAACCTCCTATTTTGACATATTTTTATACGATTATGGCGATTATGCCAGAATACCTAGAAGGTTTTTCGGACATCGGACGTCGGAAAACGGATGCATGAGACTCCGACTTATCACGTGTATGGTAGTGATATACATAGTTTCTTTTTTTTGATCAAAATATATGAGAAATAGTCTCATATTAAACATGCTAATATGAGATATGAGAAACAGTTAAAATATATGAGTCTCATATTAAAAATAGGAGGTCTGGCAACCCTAGCTGTAAGTTATTTGAGTCTTGATTCTTCGGTTTAGGACGGAATGAAAACTCTGGATTTCTCGCAACGTCAACGTTTCGTGTTTAATTAAACACTTCTTCAGGACTACAAAAAACAAAGAAAAAACAAATAACATATTGTGAACGTATCAAACTAAAAATAAATTAGAAACATACAAAAAAATATACGAAAAAAAATAATAGATACAAGAATATAAAATATAAAATATAAATACAAATTATAAATTATAAAACTGAATACAAACACAATAAATTTCAAAAAAGTGAAACGCACTCACCTAAACCTCGTGAGGTTTTCCAATAAGTTTACGAAAAGAACCCAGGGCTGGAACTCTGTAACGGATAGAGATCGTTATCCCTATCGCTATGGCACTTGCTGTCTTCTTCGCTCTTGTCGAAATCAATAAAGAGGAGACATCAATAGAGAAAGAGAAAATATCTCTATCCGTTACAGAGTCCCAGCCTTGGATCTCCATGGATTGACAAATAAAATAAAATAAGCAGGGTGCATAATATCAAAATATCCAATATTTTATGATACACAGTGTGATTACTTAAGTGTGCAACATATGGGGATTTTTTTTAGTAATAGCACAACCCAAATACAAACAAGGCCAAAAGTTGGTGCATGTCTGATAATCATATTAGGTGCACCTAAAATGGTTGCAAGTCAAACAGCATACAGGGTAGCTCAAACAATATCAAAATTGTACTGTAAAGTACCCTTAAAAGTTATGCCAAATACCAGAACATGGCCTCCTAAGATTTTTTTCCGCCCTTACTACTTTCAAAAATTAATTAAAATCAAATCAATTTTACACAACTTTGTTCAAATCCAAGCATATTTGTTAAATTAACTTAGATTTTTAATTTTTTATGGAATCACAAAATTCATGTCTGTTGCAAAGAGATTCGCCACAACTTTAATATGTCGCAATTTTTTTTTAACAAGTTAAAACATTACTAATGAGAATATGCATATTAAAAAAACTCTCCTTGAAGTCCAAAATTATTATTTTTGTAGGGTAAATATTACTACACTTTTGATATTTTTTGAGCTACCCTGTATGCTGTTTGACTTGTATTATCACACATGCACCAAACTTTTGGCCTTGCTTATATTTTTATTGTGCTATTACTTAAAAAAAATCCCATATGTCGCACACTGAAATAACAACACTGTATAGATATATGGATATATGTATATCCAATATGTGACATTTATGATGTTTTCATAAAAAGTTCAATAAAAAACGTAAAATCTTTATTTAATATTTAATTGTGATAAAAAAATGAGTAAGAACACATCCTAAATAAACATAATGTTCTCATAAGTACTAAGTACTCCAAAAAAAAAAACAAATTTAATCATTGGCATCATCATCAGAGTCTAACTCGATTATTTCTTCTTCTGTTGCACGGAATCGTTTAAGTTTAAATACTTAAACATAAATACCAGTTTACCAGGTTTTTCGGTACCTAAATTGTTTCTCAATTTAGAATGGACTAGACCAAAGCTTGAAAAACACCTCTCAATACCAGCTGTAGAAGCTATTGCTGTGAGTAACTGTTTGCAAGGTCCAAGAAACTTTTCTTTATCATCGGGCCAATCTGAAATTGTTGTTGTTACGGATTTCTATCAGGTTAATGGTGGAGTTTTTCTGAAACTTTGGCCAAATAGGAAAAAAGGAAATGTGTTGGATTGTATATTTAATGCAATAATAAAGGGAATAAATTTTTCGCTTATTTCCTTCAGTAATTGAAAACTTGTTCTTTTTGCTCATTGGTAAGCCTGCTACCTAAAAATTAGTGATCTGACATATTT